AGTTTGGAGACCCCGGCCACGCATATAAACCATACATCTCCGATCCCGGAGTCCCCAGCAGGAAGTGGTTAAGTTGTTAACTTTTTGTGTTGGTAATCCTTTTGGTTGGGTTTCCATGGCGTTTGTACTAACGTTTCCTTGCTTGGACGTTGTAATTATGCAATTATTGGGAGGTATGATTTCCCTCCTGTGTTACTGTCTTCAGGAATTTGTTTGAATTGTTTCATGAATCACAGCTGTTGTGTTCTCAAGCAAGGCACTTTACTCAAGTCTAGGATATGACACTTGCCCATGAGGGCAGAAAAAGAGTTTTGAAAATGGTTGATCATTGCCTGGGAATGTCTGTTGAAGCTTTGAAATGGGGCCATGTATGAGTCATCTAGAGTCAAATGAGAGCTCTTCAATCGGGGGTAACAATATTCTAAGCACTTAAATTGTATGCTACGTATCGCACCAGTACTGAAATGTCACAGTATAAGATGTCAGGAGATATTTCTTAATGAAATAGTGTGTGACTGTAATATGTCCTATCAGTTCTCCAATATTTGTTGGTAGTAGCATTTTCCAAAAAGCATTCTCAGAAGTAACACCAACAGCATTACGTAGCCCTTACACACACAGAATCATGTTTCTCCAATTTCTCCAACTTTCCCTAGCTTAAGTCCGGTGTTAAGACATTTTGACGCATGTATTGTCTGCACTGTTACTTTGTTCTTATGAAAAGGCCTTGTTTCATTTTTTGTTCATATCCATTGTAAAATCAGATATCTGTACCATGTAACAGTTACTTTTGTACTCTAGCACATTAATAATGTTGTATTTTTGTTAAATGTTAAAGAACAGTACTGTGTTCTCCTGGAAATATCAACATTTTTTACAATATTTTTCAAGTATGAGGCACACTTCAACATAAAGGTAACCGAATCCCCAAATATTTAGTTTTCATAAAAGTATCATAAACAAGTTTTCATAAAAGTAAGTGAATTTCCAAATGTTTAGTTTTCAAATAATCAGCTCAACAATAAATATATTCAGAAGATGAAGAGATTTTTTTTTTACATTTTTATGTGTGTTGTCAGTTGTACTGCAAGAAATGGGTAATATGATGGTCTTTCAGGTTGGTTGGATTTTGTTGCTGATGTTGTGATAGTCAAGCTGAATTTCCTTTACATGGTGGTCTTCCGTTTTGGAGAGTTGGTCTGTTGAATGGTTCTCTGGTGGGCCTTCTGTTTATTTTCTCAACATTTCTGTCTAGCCGTCCATTTGTTCGTACTTGGAAGTGTTTTTTTTGGGGGGGGTTGTTTTGTGGTCTGTGTCATGTTCTCAAATCTTGCGCAGCTTTGGCATGTCTTACATTTACTGCAGATATAATCTTGTCTGCTGTCTGGTAAAACTGGAGTAATAAATCCATCTGTTCCATTGTGAGTTCTGTGCTCACACCAATTCGGGGAAACTACAAGCATGGAAGGTCTACAGTTTTTAAAGCACATTTTTGGAGATGGAAAATGTTTTAGAATTATTTTCTGATTTTTAAGCAAATATTTCTTTCATCCCTAAGACATCCACAAGAAAAAAAAAAGCGGCCAAACCAGCATTCTGGACAGAATCCGAAACCAGAAAATGGAAACAACAATTTGGTGTGGCAAAAGATCAGCAAAGAATGCAAAGAGATTCTTCCTGAAATGTTCCAGCATGTTCCATTTATTTAATTTCTTTTCACCGATGTCTTCAAAATGGCTGATCTCCACCAAGAACAAATTGTTTTCATCAAGGCATTATAATGCCCTGTTACTTTAACGCCATGAATTTCACAGTATTACAATACCTTAATATGGCCTTATAATGCCCTAAATTTACGGCATGATAATGCCTTTATACGGCATTTAGAATTCATTTGTAGAAACCTAAGGAAGTATACCGCCCTTATATGGTATTGTAACAGCCTTGGTTTAAGCCGTAATAGAGCATTATAAATGCCGTAATTTCATGGCGTTATAACATTGTATTACAACATATACTGGGCATACATCCATCTTGTTTCAATTCTGCTTGTAGGCCTGCATTTTTTTACATATGTGTGCTTGTCTCTGCACTCACATTCAAGGGATGAACACAGTAAATATTTGCATTACGACATTACAACGCCCTGAAATTATGGTATTAATAATGCTCTGTTACAGTGTCACAATGCTGTAAATATAATTGTTCTCCGTGGAGTTTAGCCACTTGATCTTCACCAACAGCATTTTAAACCAGTGGAACTAGCTTGGCAGACCATATTTTGTGTTTGCTGCCCTCCATTTTTCAAAGTATTATGATCTTCCCAAACTTGTGAGGAATCCAAATTCCTGTTTGCTGCCCTCTTTTGTTCAAACCTGGTGATAACCGGTTAATTTTTGTACAAGTTTCAAAGTTCATTAATTAAAGAAAAAGTGAGAACAAAATTGTTTGACGAAACAAATCAATGTAGTTACCAAAGCTTAGTCCTCTTCTTTTATGAAGGGGCTTAAACTGAGGTTAGGCATTGTTGCAGCATTAGTTTTTGTAACAAATATAGCAGAAATGTGAGCAAGTGAATTGGGCCTGACTCTCTTCAGGTGTACTTCAAATTGAAGGCTTTCGCCCGATGTCTCAAAGATTTATTGTCTTCCATCAACAATTGAAAAAAATGAGTTTGAACTTTTTTTTTCAGATTTTATTTGAAAGTTGTAGCAATGTCCAAATATGATGTAATTTATTGACTTGATGAAGTCAGCATCAGTAAATTCATGCGCCAGGAGTTGGGGAAAAAATTTCCTGCCAGCTTTGCAACTTTCTCACATCAGGGTCAAAGTTGATTTAAATCAGCAGGGCCGGGCCATCTGGGAGGGAGAAAAAAAAAGCACTCAAAAACGAAGGGGAAAAAAATCCTTAAAAATTAATTGGAGTCGGCTCCAGGGCATACTGTTACTGGACAGGGAGAGAAAAAAAAAGAAATAAAGAACAGGAAAAAATGCAGACAGTGTTTTTTTTTGTTCTGACAGAAGGCGGGCAGCTGGCCCAGGGAGAGAAAAAAACAGCCACAGAAACTCAAGCTGAGTGATTTTAATGCTGGAGCGGCTCATGTTTCAGGGGACCCTGCAACATGTGGTGTATGTCTGCTGAGACGGACTCCCCTCCTTCCCCGAGCTCACACTGGTGGTGAGGATTAAAGGAAGGCTAAACCTGCTTGGCTGGCTTGGGAGCCAATATTTGCAGCTCCTTGATTGAATTTTGACAAGTGGGGGTGATGTTTCGAAAAGCATGTGGGATGACCTTATTCATCACTGCCAAACCCCCACCTCACCCCACACCTGTTGTCCTTTTTTGAAACCAGTAGAAGGTTCTTGGGAAGAAATTAAGAACTTCCAAGATGTCCACGGATGGGGAAAATATAGAACATCAAAAAATGTATGCATGAACAGGAAACAAATGAGTTGTTCATAGGAAACGACTTCTCCGGGCAAACGACTTATTTATCCATCTACATTAGTCTCAGACTGTTGGAGATTTCATTGGTGAATTTTCATAGGTCCAAACCATTGATTTTTCTTCGTTCGGTGTAATGGAATGTCAGATTTAAGATCAGTTTGTGTATCAGAATTAAGGCTGACCTTGTCAATGTTGTTTACGCTCGAAGTGTTCTCGGCCAAGCTGATCTTGCATGTTGTACAAAAAAAAGTGGTTTACCACTCTTCCTTCAGTTTTCTCTTCCTATCCTTGCCTTGTCTAGACAGACCAGCCTTGCTCCTGGGGATTTGGAAATGACCTTACACTGCCACAACACACTCAGCATTTTTTTTTTAATGGAGTGAACTCCTGCACCCTTCTGGAATGTTCAAGCTGAGAGAGGCACAATTTCTGGATCACATGCAGTGGCATAACCGGACGGGAAAGGGTGTGCCTTGCTGAATACACAACTGACAGTGTCTGGAAACAAGTTCTGTTCATCTTTTTTTGAACATTTTCATTGGGATGGGAGAAATGGAGGTATGTGGGTATTGGCCAAGGTTGAATGTAGATGGGAGTCACATCCGAGTCCAAGTTCCTTCATATCTGGCAAGAAAGCATTAGCTTACAAGGGGGGGAGGCTCCATTCCCCTCTGGTTGTCAAAACTCTCTTTGTCCTTCTGGTGGTAATGATCAATTAGATGGCCATATTTCTTCCCACCTCCTGCTGGCTGGGTTTCAAGTTCAACAGGGCGGCATGCCGACATGCCCCGGCTGACTTTGTGTCCTTCGTGTTATGTCTTATGTGGTAACTAACTTGATTTTCTCCCCAGAGACTTTGGATAAAATATGTTTACCACATTCTCCGCAAGAAAATCTTGGAGTCGGGCTATTACAATATAAATGGAATGTCTCTACAATCCACCCCTTCCCCTCAGAAATTCACTTTTAAGCATTAATCTCAACAAATGTTAGCCTATGCCGTTTTCCAATACTTGACTTCGGCTCCGTCTCAGGCTTCAACTGTTTTTTACTACCTGACTTTGAAGTTGTAAGCACAATAGTTAGCCTGATAGTGCCACAAAACATCAAATAAAAGACAGGAGAACCAAACATTACAGTACTTCGATTTAGTTAAATGCTTCTGGCCCACAATCAGGCATTGGTTTTGGAGGTGAAGCCTGAGACAGGGATGAA